ATGCCCAAGAATTTTTTTATAGTAATAGCTAGTTTTATAAAACGCTTACTCAATAAAGTAATTATCACAATGATATTTTGAACTAAGTACTATGATTATTCCCATTTCACAGATAAGGGAACTGAGGCCCAAAGAGGTTAATCAGCTTGCCGAAGGGCACACAGCTAGTCAGTGGTAGAGCCAGGATTTGAATGCATGCAGTCTGGCCCCAAGCCTAGATTCTGAACTACTGCTCTCTGCCACTGTCAAGATCGTTGTCACTTGCTTGCCTTCTGAGGAGCTTTAAGGGGGGCAAGTTGCAGCCAGATCACCGTGAACTGGAGCAGATTAGCCCCTTCATCCGCCGGCCTCTGGCGTGTGTTCTGGGCAAGCACACGCATCTTATTTGTCAAGGGGAGGAAAGGAGGCTGAGAACCAGGCTGTATGTGACCGATGAAGAAGCCCCTCTGCTCCTACAGGGCGTTTCTGCCCCCAATACATGAGCCATACCTAACGTCCTTAGCGCAATGAAGCCCTTCCATCCCTGCCTGGACGTGGGACCCAGCTCCCTGTGGGTCTGCTTTGTTTTTAATTCTGCTTCCCTCCTTCTCTCTTTTGGGACCTACCAGTCCCATTCCCTTGCACTCTGTCCCACATGCACATATTCAGCTCCTGGTTCTTGTAAAACACCCTGGGAGGCAGGCGGAGGTGGCCTGAGGGAACGGTCTATCCACCACGGTTCCATGTACCCTGGGCAAGTCCCTGCACTGAATGTCAGGGCCCATGGAGGGCATCTGGCATACAGCTAATGCCCCCGCGAGGTGAGGGGTGCAGCTGAACCCCGATAAGACACATCCTCAGCCCTCAGAGAGCTGAGATTAGAAAATCACTTAATTCAAGGCAAAAGTATATCAGGTTTAGAGCAAAGGTGTATGGTGTTTGGGGGAGCGGGCCAGAGTAGTGAGGGGCTTCCTAGGTTCAAATCCCAGCTCCTCCACCCACCAGCTGTGTGAACTTGAACAAACTACCTATGGTGACTTTCTCCCTAGACAAACCCACCCAACTTTCCTTGAGACAAGCCCTCCCCATAGGCTGGGGTATGTGGACACCCCTTCTTACCTTTTATTGAGGGTGCCAGATTCTGCTTTCCCTAGAACCACTTGGTCCACCTTCCCTTGCCCTCTGAATTTCTGCTTTTATTGGTCCTTAATTGTCCAATCTTTGATGCTGGAGTCGTGGGGCAGGTGAGGGCCACTGGGATGCAGGAGCTGCAACCCACCTTCTACAAGAAATGTCTCCTTTGCTAGGAGACTAGCGGGTGCACCTGGTATTAAGTAATGGCCATACGTCCAGAGCTGGCCTTGAGCAAATAATCTCTTTACCAAAAAAAATGGCCCTTGTGCAAAACTGCTGAATGTTCATAGTTTCATCCATTCATTTATTCCAACAACAGTACATTTTCTGATGCTAGATTTACACAGATGAACAAGGGAGGGAAATCTCTGCTTCACTTTTCTAGGGAAAGGAAAGGAGACACCACAGAAAGTAGATTTAACACCACTGTTTATTAGGGCAGAAAAGAAGAGGAAAAAGAAATAGATGACAAAAATCTCAGCATCCCCAAATGGCGTGCTTCACTATTTTGAACAAGACTTCCCCAAATTCCTTAGGACAGGCAGACTGCCCCAAACTCCAGGTCTGGAGGCTCCAGCTCCATCAGCCCATGTAAGATTCTTGTTCTGCCCACCCTTACAAACTGGTAGAAATAACTTTGGGGGAGTCTATACCTTAAGCTATTAGTTTTAATGATTTATGCAGGTTAGTAAAATGAAGCAGGATATGTATTTGCCATCTCCAAGGCAAACTTTGGCACATCCAGTGTTCACGAGATCCGAAGACATCCATTTCCACAGTTTAACAACAAACGAAAGAAGGAGACTTGTCTTGTTTCAACATTACTCAGGTCATTGCATATAAAATACTTGCTGAAAAAGAACAAGAAAATAATGTTAGGATGATGATGGTGGTGGTGGTGGTGGTGGTGGTGGTGGTGGTAATGGCAGTGATGATGATCATGATGGTGGTGGTGATG